TGTGCCAGTTGCTGCATCTGCCGTCTGCACAGGGAGCTTTGACCATTACAATCCCTGAAGACGCGATTCAAGCCAAGCCAGGCTCTGATGTCCAGCTGCCTTGTCACAATGAGGAGTCTTCTGGGCACCCAGGCCCCAAATGCCTGGCTGTGGTGTGGCGTGTGAGCTCAGAAGTTATTGCTGAGGATGAAGATAAATTAGGAGCTATTCACCAGGGGGCAAAAATGACTCCTGAAGAACTGCAAGAGGGCAGTGCCAGCCCCCTGGTTCCAGATGTGCAGTCACAGATAGCAACACTTATACTTGCTTTGTTATCCACAGCCTTGGCAGTGAAACGAGGGAAGTGAAGTCGAAAGTGGAGGCTCCCCCACGCATAAAACTTGGTTCCACAAAAGTGCAGTTGACCAGGTCAGGTACAGTTGCGTGTACAGCAACAGATTTTTGTCCTGGCGATATCTCTGTGATGTGGTTCTGAAATGACGACATCGTGCAAGGCCCTGAATTGCCTCCTGCTCTGCCCGACACTGGCCGCTCGTTCAGAGGAGCGTCCTGAAGATCACGCCACAAATTGCAGATGCCGACGCCAACTTCTCCTGCCATTTCCATCACCGAGCACTCGAAGGGGCACTTGTACTAAATGCAAGCTCGCCCGATCCTTCAGCTGCTCGCTAAGCCACCAAGGGAGAATTCTGTAGCAGCCCAGTGCAACGTGAGCAAATGTTATCCCTCCCAAATCCGTATTCAGTGGTTGCAAAATGGAGTGCCACACAACGGGATGTTTTCCATTAACAGCGTCCTCTTCCCACAGAAGAGTGATGTTGAAGTCACTTTCCCAGTGCTTTCTCCTGAACCAGACAAATCAGTACCGTTTGAGGGGGAAAGGGAAGATATGAATGACGGGGAAGAGAGACTGGAAGGAACCCTCTACAAGAATTCAGAGCTGGAAATCAGACCCGTAATGAGCTAATCTCTCATCATGGAGAATTTCGGAAGGGTGCTTAGTTTTAATTAATGTCTGCAAACAAACAGCTGCACACATTCCTGCTAACCGTCCTGGATTGGCTCATTCCAGAGAAGAACCTGATGCCCACCAGGGTCAGGGTCTGCATGGAGAGAGGGGGAGGAGAAGGGAAGGGAAGGGAAGGGAAGGATTCCCGTGCAGGCATTGCAAAGGTGGGTGCAGTCACGGAGCTCTCTTGTCCCACGACAGGGAATGGGGGGCAACCAGGAGGAGGCAGAACAAGAAGGGCTGATATGGGGTTAGTGCCTGGTGAGCAGGACCACTTTTGGAAGCTCAACAGTCACCTGAAGCCAACAAGATCATCATGGTTTTATTTAAACAACTGCTTCCAGTTCACAAAAGTATCTTATTTTCCAAAACGGCTTAAAGGAATGAAGAGAAGCATCTTGTTTATGCAAAACAGGGTTTCATTTTCAAAATCGTAGCCATGCTGTCTGCTTACACAGAAATCCAAGCACCTGCAACTTTATTAAAGAGGCATGTGATTTCTGCAAAGCACACAAGAAATATAAAAAGTCAAGGGTTTAAAGTCTTCCTGAGGATCTTTGGCTCTTGATCCAACCCAGCAATCCACTGGCACGCAGGGCAGCGAATACAGAACTAATTTTGGAGGGTTTCTTTTCTTTTCTTTTTTTAACTGCACCTGTGATGACAGTTTCAGTCAACTGGCAAGCAAAATGAAATGGCTAAGGAATACGGCGTGAGCCTTCAAAAGCCAAACGCTTTATCCACAGCGTTAGAAAACAGCATAGATGCCACCCACAGGCAATTATCCTGCGTTCTAATGGTTTTCTTTTTCCTTTTTTGAGTTTTAGATGAAAGCTCTGATAAATATTTCTAGCCCTCCCCAGGATGCGTCACCTCTGAATTCTCAAGGGTTCAAATAGGATTCACTTTCTAGGAGGTGTGTGCAATAAAGAAAACAGGTGTGTTGTTCTGAATCTGGAGTAAAGAGAGTTTTAGAAGTTCTGCCAAACTATTCTGGATGGGCTACAGTCAGCCAGGCTGCTTCGGTTGTTGCGAGTTTTGGCCAAAACAAGCTTTATTGGGCCGGCTGGGCAAAGTTGGCATGAACCACCCTGCCTGCTCTCCAGCCTTCCCCTCGACTGCTCCCGCCACGGGCCACTTGCAGTCTTCCCAGCCCCTTCCCTTCCGCCTCCCATGTCCTAGCATGGCTCTCTTGACCCAAAACCGCTTTATCTCAACAGCTTCGTCACGTTCTGCATCTGGACCGAACGTGCTGCTTTCCGTTTGGGCACACACCACCTGAAAACAGGGGTTTAGCCCACGGAAGAGCTGTGCACAAAGCATTTCCTACCTCCCTCCTTTGTAGATAAGCGACACAGATGTTGAAAATATGGCAACAGCTATCAAACAATTGGGTCTCTGACTCAAGACTGAGTGTAGAGGACTGTGCGGCTCCTGTAAAGAACAGCAAACCCTGGGGGGCTCTGATGCTTCTCTGGAAGAATGAAATGGTGGGAAATGCGATGGTGTCGGCTGGGCACACCAACATCAGCCACTTCAGTGTGATTCTCTAGTGCATCTCTCCTCTCATTTTCAGAAAAGTGCCTCCGAAAAAAAAAAGGGTTTTCACAGAAGACTTCTCATTTTACAATCAAGCTTGCTCTAACATGCTGCAGGAGATGTGGTTCAAAGGAAGTCTCACCCTTTTGCAAGGTAGCTAAATATTCTGAATAATCTTAAATACGGTTTCATCTTTCCTGAGGGCGATGAAAAGAGCAAACACTAACTGAGTGCCTTTCACTCAATCTCGCTGAGCTTTGGCTTATTATTTGGCTAAGTTCATTCAACTGAGTTAACGGAGACTCGCTACAGTTTACAAAACAATCCACAAAAACTTCCATAGCAGGTAAGAGGTCCACAATAAATATAAATCGATAAAAACAGCCGATAACTAATCAAAGTCACAACGCTACACGGATAAATTATAACAGTGATAATGAAAAATAAATAGAACAGAATAATATCAAATCAGTGTAAGTCATTCAAAGTGAAACCATTTAAGAAGGAGAGGACACACTCTTTGGAAAAGCTTCATCCTCAGGAGACCTCACTCTAAGGAGGCTGGAGAGGATCCGAGAAAGAGAAGCTCCAGGCCTCCATTCCCTTGGCCTAGTTGTGTAGAATTACAAGCTTCTCCTGGGAAGAAGGTACTTGACAGGCTGATTCAGGCAGGAGAAGGGGGTCCTGCAGGTATCTGGGTGCAAAGCCATCTATCGGTCAAGATCAGCACTTTGAATTACACCTGGTAACTACTGTCACGCCTCATGCACCATGCTGTTCGCAGATAATACCCACCAGTAACCAAACCACTGCATTTTGCACCAATTGCAGTTTCCAGGTGAGCTTCAAGGGAAGCCCCACGTAGACCACTTTGCTGTCGTCTAGTGTCACAGCACCAAGGGCATGAGACAGTTGCAAGATCCTTGAGATCCAGGGAGGCCTGCAACTAGCTCACCAGCCAAGCTGGGGAAAACCCCTCCTGGCCCCAGCCTTCACCCGCCCATTCAGCAAGAGCAGGAGCCCAGGAGACTCCCAGCTGCAGACCTGCTCCCTCAGGGACAGGGCCAACCCAGAGGAACCAACTGAGAACCTCAATGGGCAAACAATCGCTCTGCCTTGCTTGGATTCAGTTTCAACCTGCTTCGCCTACGGCTTCCGGAAACCTGAACAGCAGCACCAGTCGCTAACGTCTTGGTCTGACTGTGGCTTGAGAAACAGCACGTGTTCAGGGAGGGGAGGGGAAAGAGAAGAAGAAACCACCTCTGTTGGAAACTGTGCCTTTCTCTAGTATGCGAAGTAGAGTATATTCAAGCACAAACTATCTTTGTGGGCCTTGGTACCCAACTAAAATATGTTCCTCCTCTTCTTCCCCTTCCCTGGCATTCCTACCCCCAACCTTCACATAAAAATGGCAGGAAAAGTGAACCCAGAGGCCGTATCAGCACACAGATGTCCCTGAGCTGGCAAAAGCTGTCCCCACCCGATTTCCAAGCTGGCTTAAGGAGCTTGCCTTGGTCACTGAGATTCAGTGGCTGAAACCGTGGCCTGGAGGAGATTCTTTCAACCCTCTGAATGTTAAAAGGAGGAGAAGAGGCAGAACGGGGAATAAGTACTCTCTGGGCGCTGCAAAGACAGATGTTTGCAGGCAGATGTCTAGAACTCAACCCTGCACCTGCAGGATTGCTTCAGCAGGACGACTTGGGGAGCTTTAGCGAGGAAAGTCAAACGGGAGACGCCAGACAAATACGGTCGTAAGTGTGTGAGCATCGGCAGTGCCCCCTGCCCACCCATACTACACACCGGCATCGCAACACTCGGGTGCATCTGTACTGTCTCTAAAACCGGGACGGGAGCACCAGAGAGGGCAGAACCAGGTGGTTTCGGATCCGAGGAGGAGGAAGGAGCCAAAGGACAACCTGATGGGGGTTACAAGCCTCTGCAAGCCCTCAACAGGAGGACAGCCAGATTAGCAACAAGCAACTTTTAAGTCAATCTTAAAGCTTGCTCTGGTTTACCTGTTCTTATTTGTTTTTCTGTTTTCCTCCTGCTTCATCTTAGAATGAATTGGTTTGCTAGAGGTTTATCCCACCTTTTCTACAGGAGCAAAAGGCAGCTTTTGTGGAGGTCTCTCTTAATTTTATCCCCGCAGCAACTGGCTCCGGACTGGCCCAAAGTCACACAGAAGCTTCAAAGGCAGAGGGTGGAATTGAAACTACTCCGACACCTTTGCCATTACACCACACCAGTTGCGTAAACAGCTTTGTCATGTTCCGTAGGGAGATGCGGTGTAAAATACTTTGAACAATGAAGGGGGAACATGAGAGCTCAGGACACAGAAGTCCTGCTCGCAACACCCGTTTCAGCATGCCTGTAGCACGCCGTTACTTTTCCTGGCCCTCGTCTCCCTCCGATGGATGATTTCTCTGGCCACCGTCCCTCCCGGGCTCCTTACCTCTCTGAAAGGTTAATCTTGGCATCAAGTTGCTGCACACGGTGACTGCAGCCATCAGAAAGCACCCAAAGGAGTGGGAAAACTGGCCAGGTTTCATGGTTGGTTAACAGCAGCCTGTCGCCAAGAAGGTTGATGGAGACCGAGAGGTGCTGGTCCTAACTTGGTAGCTGTCAAGAAACGGAGGAGGAGGAGGAGAAAACAGATGTTAGAAGAAGAGCCCTCTTTGGCAATCAAACAAGCCCTTCTGCTCGTGTTTGTTTCAACCGTTGCATTACGCTGGTTGATTCTTCCTTGTGGTTTCTCATGAGGTTCTTCTGATGAGTGAGGAAGGAGAAGCTGTGCTCGTCGGGGGCAGAGGCTTAAGAAGGAGAGGGTGGCATGAGGCAACACCAGCCAGAAGGTGCCTCTGCACTCGGAAACCAGCCTGCGGTGGCCGAGGGCGTATTTTTGTGGGGTGGGAAGGCTCCTTTCCTTGGCAGCCCCAGAAAGCTGTGAGCAATTCCTGAGGAGCATCTGGGGAGGGGGCTAAGGCTGCAGAGCCTTAGGGGCCTTGCAAGCTCTTCTCTGCTTGCTCTGCCTCTCTGGGACTGATGTCCAACAGAATGCATTTCTACAAGAATCATCACGTTTTTGTTCAAACCGTGTTAAACTCCACAGCTTTTGGCAAAATTGCTCATGACCCCACCTCCCCTTCTCAAGCCTCTGAACGTCTTTGGAACAAAACCCATTGCAACAGACTGATTTTACACCAGGAGGGAGAAAGAGAGGTGGGGACTGGACAACGGGCTTGTTGGAGCAAGGCTGCAACACGGGGTGATGATTACAAACTGCTTTGAAAAACAAACGGGCTCTTTCATCAATGCACACAGTCACTTTGGTGGATCAGCATGAGAGGAGGAGAAAAACTGGGAGATCTGAAAGAAGGAAGTAAAAGCAGCAGTAATTTTGCAAAATTCCAAAATTCATTTTAGGCATGCTTTAAGTCGGAAGGAGTGTGAAGAGAAGATACAAATCCAGAGGATGAGTGAGGAAATTCACTCAGCCCTTCCTCAGCGTACTGTAGGTTTGCAAGCAGAATGTCCAGGCAGGGTGGGAAAGGGCAGCTGTAGGGATACAGGTGTTCCCTGCAGCACCACAGACCTCACAGGGCGCAGCAGCCTGGGCTACAAGACCTCTAAGCCCTCTTCCAACTCTACCTTCCAGTGAATCCCGGCTGGATCTATGCGGGGCTGCTGACTGGGGAGGAGAAAATGGAGGCTCTGCCTTGATTCAGAGAGCTTTCACGATCCGAGGCTCTTGCAACTTGCTTTTCATCAAAATGATATATCCAAGGGTCCTTCCTGCCTATTGTCTAGTCCAGTGTTTCTCAAACTTGGCAACTAATCTAGATTCGTGCTGGCTGGGGAATTCTGGGAGTTGAAGTCCACACATCTTACAGTTGCCAAGTTTGAGAAACACTGATTTCGTCTGACTCCATCATCTGAGCTGGTCTTTCATCTGGCCTTCTCCTCTTCAGCCATTCCAAAGTCCACCCCAGCAGAGCACATGCATCAGTGCCCCATCATGAGACTCTGAGCCCACCCAACAGTCCTGCTTTGACATCTGCCAGAGAGACAAAAACTGCACCCAAATTAAGTTAATTTCATGGCCTGCAGATCATTCAGGGCCTTGCAGTCTGTGAGATTCTGCAGGGACACCTGATCATTCATCAAGCACTTAGAAAGGAACAAGACAGTACACCTTACAACAAGGAAGGAAGTGGGGAAAAGAAAGAGGTGCTCAGAAACACACCAGGAGGCCCACCAGGCCTTAAAAAAAAAAAGAGCAATACTAAACTACAGATGGGGAACAAGCAGGGAGGACGTGAAGTCCTAGTATAGGTTGACAAATATGACATTGTTGGTATTACTGAAACCTGATGAAATGGAACTCACGATTGGAATAAAATACCGGAAGGATATAATCTGTAAATAGACTCAAAGGAAAGGAAAGGGGGATGGCATAATATGTAAGAAAAATGATTACACCCATGTAGAAATTCACGACCACCAAGAGCGAAGACCCGAACAAAATGGGCTGGGTGAAAATTAAGGGGGGGAAACCCAATAATGACTTTATTTATTTATGAATGTTTTGAATGCACGCTACAGGTCACCTGGCCAAGCAGAAGATACAGATGAAATCTTCGCAAATGAGGTGCTCAGGAAACGCGCCACTATGGCAATGGCAGATTTCAACTGCCCTGACATCAGCCGGAGATCGCTCTGCAGCAAGTGGAAGAGCCAACCGGTTGCATAAAGACCTTTCCAATAAGCCAAGAAACCAAAAGGATAAGTTTAAAAAATGGAAAAAGGGGCACCTAACAGGAGCAGAGCTATCTGGAAATAGCCCACATCTGAAAGGATGGGGTCAGGAAGGGTCTCAGAATGAGCTATGGCTTGCAACAAACGCGAAAACTAACAGCACAGGACGTGCAGAAGAAGAGGAAAGTCAAGGAAACAGTCAATCTGCTTGAGGCAGAAGATGACAAGATGGTGGCAGAAAGGAGTCAGAAGGCTGAGCTGCTGGATTTCTACATTTGTCTAGCTCAGGGTTTCTCAACCTTGGGAACTTGAAGATGTGTGGACTTCAACTCCCAGAATTCCCCAGCCAGCATGAGAGACACTGGTCTAGCTGCTTTGGATTAATTCCAATTGCCGGGGCCAAATGGGTTACATCACAGAGTGCCAAAGAAGCTGGCAGATGTTTTCTCAGAACCACCAACTGTAATTTTTGAGAACTCCTGGAGTACAAGGAAGTACCAGAAGATTGGAGAAGAGCAACTTCCTTCCTATCTCTAAAAAAAGGGGGAAAGGGGACCCTGGAAACTCCAGACTAGCACCGGGTAAATTCTAGGGAAGATTACTCAAGCAGTAGGCGTGCAAGCACTTAGAAAGGAACAAGGCGATTACCCGAAGCCAGCATGGGGTTGTTAAAAATAACATGTGCCACATAAATCCTGTTGCTTTCTTTGACAAAGTGACTAGATTAGCAGGCCAAGGGAATGTTGTGAATATAGTGCACCTAGAGTTCAGTAAGGCATTTTAGAAAGTTGACCATAGCCTCCTTCTCCATAAAACTGAACAGTGTGGGATGGATGGTCCCATTATCAGACCGATTCATAGTTGGTTGAACCACCGTATTCAGTGCGTGGTCCTTAACAGATCTTTGCGAACAGGGAGGGAGGGAGGGAGGCAGTGGGGTACGTCGAGGTTCTGTCCTCAGCCCAATGCTCTTCAACATTTTCATAAATGATTTAGACAAGGGGATGGAAGACCCAACTCAAAATAATGAATAACTTCCTGATCGTGAGAACTATTAAGCTCCTGGGAGGGTCTGAGGATTAGGGCAGGGGGTGGACTAGGACCTCAAAGGCCTCTTCCAACCCTATGAGTCTATGATTCCATGAGTATGTATTCCAAACTATCTCCCTCAACTTCAACACTGTTCTACATCGCACTCCCTTTACAGAGTCCCAATCCGGATTACACAAACAACCTTATAGATGTTGGTTGGGTTCATACAACATAGTCTTAAATTAAAATGGAGTTGAGTCATCCTTAGTTTATCATGGTATGAAATCAGGCCATTATGTGAAGCATAACACCTTATGGGAACACCCAACTGTGATCTCTTAACTGGGGTTCAGGATATTGTGTGAATCCAGCCCCTCTCTCTGCCAATTATTTCCTCTTATGCTATCTGGCCAGGAAGCTGGTGAGTTTGGCCTACAATGAAAGGCAGAGTGGGGACTCATGGCCTATGGATTGAGCTGGCTTCCACCCACCGCCTTGATTCCCCCTCCCCACCTCCATAATTTTTGTTCAACAAGGAAAAAAGGCTCACTCTTCAAAGAGCCCAGAGAAATGGCGGTGACCATGATTCCTTCACTTCACTGGGAATGCAGCACAGACAAGGAGATGGAATGAAAGGGGGCTTCATTCTTTAAACTCCACTTTAACATGCAGGTCTTTGGCTGAAACATCCGGTCTTATGTCTTGTTTCTTCCTCATTCTCTGCCCTTTTGTAACACCCTTTTGAAGAGTTCTGGAGAACATGAAAGTTTGCTCCTTTGTGCCATTTTGGCTGGCTCTAAAGGGATTACTTAACTATGAATTTTGGATTTTTTCCCCATGGACCAACCCTGCCCTAATTGCTTTTTACTGCTCTTTTATAAAGCCAATCGCGTTATCATCTGTCAATGCACAAAGAGACCTGTAGCTTGATCTCAGTCCAGCTACCTATCTGAAATTCATAAGCATAAAAGATACCCCAATTAATAGTCTTAGAAGTATTTCTGTTGACGGTTTGTTTTTCTCTTTGTACTGTGTCTGCTTTAATTCTCGCAACAGCTCTTTTATTTCTGCCTCAGCACAGGAGACACAAACCAAACTGTGGGGTCCTTGGGGTTCTCTGAGCTTGGTGGTTTTCTTGCAAACGTTTCGTTACCCGGTTAGGTCACATCTTCAGTGCTCAAAGGGAGTGGGGTTCCCCATAGCTGAGACAGTAACACAACGCCTAGAAACACTAACACTTCCACGCACACAACCAAAAGTATGGATCCGGTATGTAGATGACACCTTTGTTATAATAAAAAAGGAACTAGAGAAGACACATGAAACCATCAACAACATCTTCAAAGGAATAAACTTCACCAGAGAAGAAGAAGAAAACAACATGCAACCCTTCCTGGACATCCTCATCAGCAGAGGAAACAGCAGCAAATTAGAAACCCAAGTCTATCGGAAGACAGCCCACACCAATCAAGTGCCCCATGACCAAAGCAACAACCCCACCTC